CAATCCTACAGCCTGAACCACCGTAGGAAAACCATCCTTACAGTGTGGTTCACCAGGTCATGGAGATTCATCAGTCTGCTGTGATTCTGCTGCTGCTCTTGGCTGCTTCTTTCACTGCTTATGGTCAACCAGATGATATAAAGCCCCGTTATCAAAAGTTCCTCGATCAACATTTTGGTCCACGTGTGAGTGAGCATGCTTGTGACAGAGAAATCAAAAACAGAAAAATCACTGTCTCTGAAAGTGCAAATGGCTGCAAAGAAGTCAACACCTTCATACAAGCGAATACAAATAATATTAAAACAGTTTGTGGTGACGGAGGAACTCCACAGATGAATAACAGGAACCTGTCTACGAGCAACCAGCCTTTTCCTGTGGTCACGTGTAAATTACAAAGTGGGCAGAGACACCCACATTGTCAATATAGAGGGAAGAAGTCCAGTCGTTATATTGTATTGGGGTGTAAAGAAGGCTGGCCTGTACATTATGATGAAGGCATAATTAATGTACTGTTTAGATGACAAGCTAAATAGAGCCTCAAAGAGCTGCATAATACAGTAGTTTGCTAATCATTTGTTTACCATGTCTTTGCTGTCTTTTTCTGTCAAAAAAAAAATCTTTATATTTATATTTGAGCAATATAATTTTTTTTTTTTTTTAGAACTGCATACAGGTCCACCTGAAGTTAAAATAAAATTACCCCATCTGGCATTATTAGACTGTAGGAAGGAGAATATTTTCACTGTCTCTCATCTCATGGTGCACCAGTCTGTTTTTATCTTAAGTAAGCTTAATGTTAAAAATGTACATTATTTTTTTATTTAATTGAACTTTAATAGTATATTCTTCAGAATCTCTCCGAGATCTTCACTTCTTCATGCATGTCTGTAGCTGCATATCATGTGCAAGATTCAGCTAGTCTAGCAAAATTGTAACATGTGTTGAGCAATTAAAAAATAAATAAATAAATAAAGGGAGTAGTAAATGTACCAAAAGAGATGAGGATAAGAAATATGAAGATGAGTTTTGCACACCTGTCTGTAATCATCAATACAACTTCTCTACTACCCATAAACTCATCTTCTTGATTGTCTTGTATCTCAACAACACCAATTTGAAGATACACAAACTTAAATTTAGAGAATAGAAGGGAAACTAAGGTAAAACAGCTGGAAATATACTGAGATCCAGATGAAAACCACGACTTAAAGTTTTAAAGCCAAAACCAATGCCATGCATTTTGTCACAGAGCACTCAGAGACTCTATGGAAGATCCAAGTACAGCTTTTAATAAAGTAATCCAAAACAGGCAAAAGGCAGAAAGTACCAGCACATAGTAATCCAGAATAGATGCCAGACACAGAGTACACTGCAATACTTCAGTATATCATTTATTTTCATTTGAATGTAGCTAATAATAAAATAATGAACTCTAAATTAAATTAATAATTTACTTACTCCTGATTTCTCTCAACATGGGGACAGCAGAGCTGACAGACAATAAACGTGAAAGCAAAGTAACTGGCATTACTTATTTGAAAGAGTAGCACAGATATTTTGTTGTAAAAAAATAAAGTAATCTGACCACATGACTCAAGTTACTTGTAATGTGTTACCCCCAACAATGCTGGTTACTAGTACTTTACACAAAGTTGCCATTTACAGGTTATAAAATGTATAAAAAAATAATCACCAGGGTGAGGCCATCACAAGCAAAAATCTAACGGAAAATACAATGAACTATCACCCTAAATCTAAATAAAACTACTGATTCATTGCTAGCTTAGTCCACGGTTATGATAACACACACAAAAATATTTTAGAGACACTGATTCCAGAAATTATAAGTGAATCATGTGTTTTTAATAATATTTATCACATAAACATACAAAGATTAATCAAGTTCATTTCCTTGTTTCAGAAAAATAAAACTGCATTACTGGTTTTACTTTAAGGCTATTTTAGTGTTTGCTAAAGTAGCATTAAGGAACACAGAAAGGAAAATATCTAACAATATTCTGCCCAGAGTACAATGCACACAATATTAATAACAGTGTACTAAAACACCTTGGTTAATAATAATAA